AGTGTATTTTCAACAGTTATTGTTCTTCTCCCTGGACTTGCCTGTCCACATCCCAGCGTACAGTTCACTATGCATACGGAAATGTGGGCGTTGATGCTCGCGTCTACCTGAATCACTGCGCTTTTTCCACAAAAGGCATGTGACAATAGGTTTACTTGTCGTGTTCCAGTTCAGCACACTTTAATAGCAACTGGTATGCACGGCTTGTATCGGTCGGGACTTGGGTATTATAAAGACGGTGTGGCCAGTGGCGGAAACATTATATCGACGGCTTAATCAGCGGGAGACGTACCTGTAACGGGGCGGTGGGGTAGCCAACTTTTTAAAGCGTTCGCTCGTCACGCCGAAGGCCCGGTTTGAATTCCCCACATGGGTACAATGTTTGAAGCCCATATCTGGTGTCCCCGTCGTGATATCGCTGGAATATCGCTACATGCGGCTTAAAACTAAACTCGCTCACTATAAGTTACCACAACAGACTATAACCTTATCCCTATTGAATAGGGTTGTCACGTCTGGGTGTTTTCCATATCTGAACAATTGCTAAGCTCTTAATCCCTCCCCACCCCTCCTTCTCTTCCACTGGCCTCTCCCCCCACACATTTTACCAATATGTTTAGCAGATAAGTAGCGGGGCGTGAAATTGTCGAGCTTCAATTTCCTTTGGAAGTGTAATACAACGATACGTAACAGCCGGCTGCGATACTGTGCTGCAATTAAACATAGACATTCCACTGATCATGCTAACTCGGAACAGGGCAATTGTTATTTAAATCCCTTAATGCAGAGGGCAAACAGTAAATATGTCAGTGTACATTTAACGTGATGCCTTCTATGTCGCCGTGTTGCATTCATAGTCTTCAGAACATATTTTACCTACAGCGCAATTTTTTCGTGATTTTTAGAGCTATCATGCAAGAAAAATATAAATTATAGGATAAAAAAGACGTTCCGTCATTTTCAAGCTGGGATTTAACTAACGACTCAGTTATTAAAAACAGATTACATGATATGGAGTAATGTATACATATTATGCTTCGATGGAAATTGGCGAGAACGAACCAACTTGAAGGTAAAACATTATGAATCTAAACTAACAAATACTTGTTAAGTGACAATCCCACGTGAAAATATCCCCTTGTGGTATTACAATCTTCCGCGTCTTCGTGTGAAGTAGATAGTTATGTCTTATATATTGCTCATTATTTTACTTTTATGAGCATCTATATCCCCGAGTGATTTCATTATCATAAACTGATCACACGGCGAGGGACTGGCCTGGAGTTATAGCCGCAGCAGTGAAAGGCGATAAGGTTAGCCTCGGGGGCGAAATCAGTTCCACTTGAAGAGCTCGTACAATCTCACATATCAGTTTCATTCGAGATTTGTTAAGATTCTTGTCCTCCACGGGTGGACGTAATGCTAACAAACAGAACTGGCTGAAAAATATGTGACATTGAAACAGGCAATATGTGGCAGTGATACAAACAATGTGTGACAGTAGGATAGACATGTACAGCGTGTGACAGTGATACAAACAATATGTGACAATGATACAGGCAATGTGTGACAGTGATGCAGACAATGTGTGACAGTGATACAGACAGCGTGTTACAGTGATACAGACAATGTGTCACAGTGATACAGACAATGTGTCACAGTGATACAGACAATGTGTCACAGTGATACAGACAATGTGTCACAGTGATACAGACAATGTGTCACAGTGATACAGACAATGTGTGACAGTGATACAGACAATGTGTGACAGTGATACGGACAATGTGTGACAGGGGGACATACAATGTGTGACAACGATACAGACAATGTGTGACAGTGATACAGACAATGTGTTACAGGGGGGCATACAATGTGTGACAGAGAGACAGACGATGTGTGACAGTGATACAGACAATGTGTGACAGTGATACAGACAACAGACAATGTGTGACAGGGGGACATACAATGTGTGACAGGGGGACATACAATGTGTGACAGTGATACAGACAATGTGTTACAGGGGGGCATACAATGTGTGACAGAGAGACAGACGATGTGTGACAGTGATACAGACAATGTGTGACAGTGATACAGACAATGTGACAGTGTGACAAGTGACAGTGATACAGACAATGTGTGACAGTGATACAGACAATGTGTCACAGTGATACAGACAATGTGTGACAGTGATACAGACAATGTGTGACAGTGATACAGACAATGTGTGACAGGGGGACATACAATGTGTGACAGTGATACAGACAATGTGTGACAGTGATACAGACAATGTGTTACAGGGGGCATACAATGTGTGACAGAGAGACAGACAATGTGTGACAGGGGGACATACAATATGTGACAGTGATACAGACAATGTGTGACAGTGATACAGACAATGTGTTACAGTGGGGGCATACAATGTGTGACAGTGATACAGACAATGTGTGACAGTGATACAGACAATGTGTGACAGGGGGACATACAATGTGTGACAGGGGGACATACAATGTGTGACAGTGATACAGACAATGTGTGACAGGGGGACATACAATGTGTGACAGTGATACAGACAATGTGTGACAGTGATACAGACAATGTGTTACAGTGGGGGCATACAATGTGTGACAGTGATACAGACAATGTGTGACAGTGATACAGACAATGTGTGACAGGGGGACGGACAATGTGTAACAGGGGGACATACAATGTGTGACAGTGATACAGATAGTGTGTGACAGTGATACAGACAATGTGTGACAGTGATACAGATAGTGTGTGACAGTGAAGCAGACATTATTTGACAGCCCTACACTCATTGAATGACGCTGTGTTGCACTGTGTAAACTTGACTGTCATCCAAACCGTGTATCTCTTTACAATTAGTCCGCAACCTGGCAGTGATCTTCAGTGGGCTGTGTTTCCCTGACCTACAATGTCGTATGTGATAAACAAGTTAGAGACGTGGTATTTGAACAGGGACATTTGAACAAACAGGTAAGTACGCGCTTCGAGTTGTCATTGGGATCTTACTACGGGCCAAGATATTCTAGAAACAGGGTGTTGACGCGGAGTCTTGTGTTAAACACATAACCGTTCTTATTTTCAACTGGGCAAATAAATTTCAACATGTAAGCACAAAGAGAGGGGTAGTTTATTAAGATCTCACTTCCTGGTCAGTAATGTAAGAAAAAGCGTAATCATAAACAGGAACCAGCCTGAGATATTCTCTGGTCTTAACCTACTATATTTAGGAGAGACCATGACAGGCATAACAGTCAATCAACTTCTACCATACAGATGACATTTTAAACAGTGACTGCCTGACTGAGTTTAGTTTTACGCCGCTTTCAGCAATATTCCAGCAATATCACGGCGGGGGACACCAGAAATGGGCTTAACACATTCTGCCCATGTGGGGAATCGAACCCGGGCCTTCGGCGTGACGAGCCAACGCTTTAACCATTAGGCTACCCCACCGCCCCGTAATATACTGCACAACGATCCTTTAACTCACACCTACCCAGTTATCAAGCAACGAGGTTGTGTGTGTAAACCATCCAACTCCCTCACTCGTATGCTTGCCTTACATGTCTACGTTCCTCACATACGCCTACATTCAAGCACACATCGTATGCTTGCCTTACACTTTTCTCACATGCACCCGGGCTCGTATGCATTCATGGAGATAAGCATGCACGCATACACAGGCACGTATCAACAGCACAAGCAAACATTCAGACGAGTATACACCAAAACACACACGCACACGCTGAAATAGGCATGCGCCAGTTCACGCACACACGCGTGCATGCAGATAAAGGCACGCGGAAAGACATGCATGCATATAACAACACACACATACACTCAGACACACTCCCAATGGATCATGACGTCGTTTTTAACATTATAACCACATTAGGTTCCCACCAAACTGAAGTGTCAGGTAGCAAATATCAAGTATTCTTCTCAAGTCACGTTGTTTTTACAGCTTGCATAAAGCTGCCGGTGCCGGTCGATCGTTAATATAACAACAGCTCCCACATCTACATGGTGTCAACTGGCTTCAAACTGTTGCACTCAAAATGGCGTTAAATTCAACTCTAATCAATCTAAAATTACATATTTCAAATGCACCTGATAAGTTCTCGAGCCCTAGTAGGGCTACCAGACTTACTTCGCTGATCATTTCCTGTAAACATTCAACCTCGGAAGTGTTCGCTACTGCACATGTGCGTCTGAAAACTGCAAGCTAAATAAATCTAACTTTAATTCGTGAGAGAGATTAATCATTTCTTGAATTCGGAATAAATGATAATAATATGTGTGCTTCCTTGAATTATTATAATTTTATACGCTGAGGTGATAATATTATCAGCCCGCAGGAGCAGTCGTCACGGTTTCAGTTCTATCGGGTCGCAGTGACCTTTTGATAATACAATAGGGAACGTGTCAAAAGTTCAAAATACATTAAAGATGTTCATTCATACAGTGCATGTATATTTAGTTCCCGGTCATGATTGCGAAATTCTGTTTACAGATCTTAAGTTTTAAGGCATTTCTAAACCATAAGTGTATTGTCTAATTATACAATTTGTATGATTTATTACTAAAGTGAGAGGACTGTTGTGAATGTGACAATTTGCAGCCATGATGTTGGCTAAACATTGCGATATAGTGAAATATGTCATTTGTAACGGGGGAAGGGACAGGGGCTAGGGGTGGGGGTGTTATTGAATATCTCGCTAGTCCTCATGAAAGAGACATATTTGAACCTGTATGGATGAATTAAGGTGTAGTACTACGTCTTTCTAGATAGGAAGTTTTCACTCTATTTTTACGTATTATATGACCTGAATCAACTTATCATACTGAGCGCTGAACGTGGGATGTGCCTGTTATCTTTAATGATAAGCGTCGATAGAGTAACAGTGTTGATGGTATATTTGATGTGTTACATGTTTTGAGATGGCCCCTGATCGACGCTGTACGTTATCTTGCAGTGCATTATGTGACTGGGTTGGTCTGAAGGACGGGTCGCCGGCAGGGACAGGAAGATTAAGCTGATATAAGATGGACGTATGAGGTAGGCAAACGTAAATTTCACGCATGTGTGTGATCCTGCGCTATAATGAAATTTACCTTATAGATGCTGTTCATTTTAATGTGTTTATCCCTTGAACAACTATAGTCTGTTTGCAGTGAAAACGTACCGATGCTTGTCTCTGTCACCTGTCTATACCCGTGCTTGTCTGTCACCTGTCTACACCTGTGTGAACCTCTCTCCTCTGTCTACACCTGTGCTTGTTTCTGTCCTTTGTCTACACCCGTGCTTGTTTCTGTCCTTTGTCTACACCTGTGCTTGTTTCTGTCCTTTGTCTACACCTGTGCTTGTCTCTGTCCTTTGTCTACACCTGTGCTTGTCTCTGTCCTTTGTCTACACCTGTGCTTGTCTGTCCTTTGTCTACACCTGTGCTTGTCTCTGTCCTTTGTCTACACCTGTGCTTGTCTGTCCTTTGTCTACACCTGTGCTTGTCTGTCCTTTGTCTACACCTGTGCTTGTCTGTCACCTGTCTACACCCGTGTGAACCTCTCTCCTCTGTCTACACCTGTGCTTGTCTCTGTCCTTTGTCTACACCTGTGCTTGTCTGTCCTTTGTCTACACCTGTGCTAGTGTCTCTCCCTTATCTACACCTAGGCTAGTCTCTGTCCCTTGTCTACACATGTACTAATCTGTCATTTGTCTACACCTGTGTTAATACCTCTCTAGTCGTCTATCAGTCATATTGTGGACCTCTATCTCTTTCCCCAATCCCATTCTTATCCATTATTTCTTTCCCCAATCCCATTCGTAGCCATTATCACTTTCCCCAATCACATTCTTAGCAATTATCACTTTCCCCAATCCCATTCTTATCCATTATCACTTTCCCCAATCCCATTCTTATCCATTATTTCTTTCCCCAATCCCATTCGTAGCCATTATCACTTTCCCCAATCCCATTCGTAGCCATTATCACTTTCCCCAATCCCATTCTTAGCCATTATCACTTTCCCCAATCCCATTCTTAGCCATTATTTCTTTCCCCAATCCCATTCTTAGCCATTATCACTTTCCCCAATCCCATTCGTAGCCATTATCACTTTCCCCAATCCCATTCTTAGCCATTATCACTTTCCCCAATCCCATTCGTAGGCATTATCACTTTCCCCAACCCCATTCTTAGCCATTATCACTTTCCCCAATCCCATTCGTAGCCATTATCACTTTCCCCAATCCCATTCGTAGCCATTATCACTTTCCCCAACCCCATTCTTAGCCATTATCACTTTCCCCAACCCCATTCTTAGCCATTATCACTTTCCCCAACCCCATTCTTAGCCATTATCATTCGAAGCCATTATCACTTTCCCCAATCCCATTCTTAGCCATTATCACTTTCCCCAATCCCATTCGTAGCCATTATCACTTTCCCCAATCCCATTCTTAGCCATTATCACTTTCCCCAATCCCATTCTTAGCCATTATCACTTTCCCCAATCCCATTCGTAGCCATTATCACTTTCCCCAATCCCATTCTTAGCCATTATCACTTTCCCCAACCCCATTCTTAGCCATTATCACTTTCCCCAATCCCATTCTTAGCCATTATCACTTTCCCCAACCCCATTCTTAGCCATTATCACTTTCCCCAACCCAATTCTGCACCTTCATCTTATTCCCTTAATCCAATTCTTAGCCTTTGCCTCTTTCCCCAATCCCAGTCTGAGACTCTATGACTTTCCTATCTGGGCCTTTATTACTTCCCCCAATCCATTCTGAGCCTTTATTATTTTTCCAAATCCCATTCTAAGCCTTAATCACTTTCCCCAATCTCATTCTCAGCTTTTATCTACACCTTTCTCTTATAAACCTTGTTACTATTCCGGTTAAATATTGCAATTATTATGTTAACTTCACTTAACAATTGTTTGACTGTTTATCGTTTACTTCTAGTAATACATTGCTATCAACACTGTGGGCGTTTGATGCTGAGTCGATGTAGTTCACGCCCATGTTGACGGAGTGGATGTAGAACATGTGGAACACAGGATGCTCATATGTACAACATGTGTCTCTCACCATTGTCCTCCTTTCGGGACGTAACCTCGTATGATTATTTCCAGTATATCTCCATCCGTAGCTACGCATAAATAATCGGTGTTAGAAAATGAGATATAACATGTAGTTAATTTCCTTCAATGGGCACATTATCGAAACAACTCGAAACGATTATATGTACTTTATATTTAAAGACAGTCAGCGAGTGATAATGAAGGCTGGAAGACGAGATGCAACACGTGACCTAAATAGGTCACAATGGAATTTCCTTCGTGAGATTCTTGTGTAGGAAACTACAGTGGCGCATTAAGGAACACGATCGTTATCTTCCGTGATAAGCATCGCTTGAAATATGCGTCCCATATAATTACCTTAAATGTGGTAATCATATCGCCAGCATCTGCATTAACTCAAAGGAGAAACCAGACATTTTTATACCGAAATATAGTTGGATTTTATTTCTATTTAGTCCAGGATTTTTGTGACTACCTTTAACCATCCTAGCGTTCGTTGAAGACCAGTCATGACTATACCGGCAGTGTGGTTACTCGAGGATAGTTGATGTTAACATTCCTGATACCATAAGCACGGTCATCTAGCTATAGTCTCTGAAATGAACTTGTTTTACAGAAAAATAACAGTTCCTTAATTATGATCATAAAATATAATAAAAAGGATCCCTGAGACTTTCTTAATGTTCAGGAAATTGTGGACATCTAGACTTGCCCCATAATCTAGACTTGCATGGGCTTTCATGGATATATTATTTCATGGTCTGTATGACAGACCAGGTTTTTGGTGACAATTGATGTATTCGAAGCAGGCTGGTTTTTCGGCCAAATCGAATGTCGTACTGCAAAGCTTTATTATGTTTTGCTCTGAAACATCATCCTATCTTGCTCCACGAGTCAGGTCTGTCCACGTTATTGTTCCCAAGATGTCTGCATCCCGTGTTCGTGATTCATACGTCTTGAATACGTTATTCACTGAAACCACTTCGGGATCAACTACCGCGTTGTCACAGAATAATGTGTGGAATATAGCAGTGAAGATTTGGAATAATGTCCGGGACAACCTCGCTGTCTCAATTCAGCATAGAAATGTTCAATTGTCTGTCAGCGAGAGACCCCAGGAACGTGAAGCTGTAGCTCCTTGTCCAAGTAACGGGATCTCGCGTTGTTACAACGGGATCTCGCGTTGTTACAATGTCAATACATGTCACAACACGAACATGAAGCTAGTGTTCCTCAGGTTTATCCATAATGTACTATCCTTACACTATTCATGTACTATTCTTACAATATTCATATAATATTTATGTACTATTTATGTACTATTCTTCCGATGTTTTACAGTGTTCAGTGTACTGCCTAGGATGCAATGACTTTCACCCTTCCGCCGGAAACAACACGCTGTCAAACTCCACAGTGACCCAACTGCTGCCTATCGAACTATCTACGATAAAGTGAGGTGAGGTGAAATTGGGTTTAACGTCGTGTTTGAGAATATTTCGCTCATATGACGACGTGCATGCGTGTGTATGTGTATGTGCGGCTGCTTGTACTAGCCCAGACTTAAGCTGGTTTTATAGTGCTAGCCCACTGAGATACCATGCCGCAGTGAAGCATGAATACCCCACTCAGACACATTATACTGACTCCGAGCCGACCAGTCCTTGTTGTACCCATTAATGCCGAGCGCCAGACAGGGACCAACAAGTACCATATTTTAACGTATTTAGGTATGACGCGGTCGGGGATCGAACCCGCGACCTTCTGCTCTCCGGGCGGACGCTCTAACCACTACACCACGGAGGCGGTCCCTACGATAAAGTAGTATTAATAACGTTATTGCTACCGGGTGATCGGTCAGTCTTGTGCTTTAACATTGCCTGCTCACGGCGCTACGTACATTACTATCCCCGGTCATAGGTGAGGTGAGGTGAAATTGGGTTTTACGTCGTACTTGAGAATATTTCGCTCATATGGCGTGCGTGTGTATCCCGGTCATAGGACACTATCGTACTTTCCGATACTTTTTCAACTCCCTGAGGATCATACAGCCATGCTCTCTAGCACAATGAACTGACCACTCACATTGCCAGCACATCCTCACGGGTACCCATTTTACAGCTGGGTGAACTGAGACAATGTGGATCTAAGTATCTTGTCCACGGATACTACGCAAATGTGCCCAAACCGGGACCCGAACCTAGATGCCTCCACCGGGGATCGAACCCTGGTCTTCAGCGTGATAGGCAGACGCCTTACCACTGCACTACTGCGCTCCACGATGTACAATGTGAGAAGCCCGTTTCCGGTGTCTCTCGTCGTGATATTGCTGGAATATTGCTAAAAGACACGGTAAACTAAACTCACTCACTCCTCCACCACGATCAGACAGCAATAATCCAGCCCTACCACGAGTGTACCGTTAATAATCGAGACATTTCCAGCCAATCTAGGGACTGTAAGAATGAGCGTGCAAGGGAACAACATACCATCAGCCAAGTCAGGGTGTCTTACCATACTTAGTCTGTTTCACACAGCCCATATCTGGTGTCCCCCTCCGCGATATTGCTTGAACATTGCCAAAAGCGGCATAAAACCATACTCATTCACTCACTTACCAAATGATTAAAATCTCTATGAACATTTCACTGATATTGATTCACAAATACATGTAAATGCTACTGATAAAGTTGGTACAATCCTCTGTGCGTTCAGCAGATTTCCTTTTGATGAGGAAAGCATTTAATTTATATACAAGTGTCTGGAATCATTCGGACAGTACCGGTGTCGCCCTCACTCACTTGGGCTCTGTGAATACTGACGCAATAGCGAGTATGGTTTTACGTCGCTTTTAGCACTATTCCAGTAATATCGATATCACGATAATATTCAGTTAAACCTCGATTTGGGGAAGGAGGTTGGATTTGGCTTGGATAACATCTCTCATACGGCGTCTTAAAGCATAAAGATGTATCTATAAGGTGAAGGCATACAATTTGGCTTTGACTGCCAACTGTTTTTTTCGATTACATCCAGTAAAATGGATGTCTTTGAGGGTAGATCCTGTGGAAAACCTCTTTTTGGCCTACTGACTGAGTTTAGTTTTACGCCGCTTTTAGCAATATTCCAGCATTATCACGGCGGGGGACACCAGAAATGGGCTGCACACATTGTGCCCATGTGGGGAATCGAACCCGGGTCTTCGGCGTGACGAGCCAAGGCTTTAACCACTAGGCTACCCCACCGCCCCCTTTTTGTCCAACCTTTGGTGACCATGATATTTCTTTCTGGAAGCACCAAGTTCCCCTAAATATCTATACATTTCAGACATCACCATCACCAAATGAATTTAGGTTATAATCCTTGTTATGATTGTCATTGCAGATTCAAGAATGAAATGCGTCGTCTCTACAATCGAGCGTTTCTAGCCGTTGCCGGCATTATCTGCCTACTAGTCTTTCTGCAAGTCAACATCCTCTCCAAACATGAACATTCTCGAGAAGAAGGGCGGCATCACCAGGTCATATCATACCGTGACGTCAGTGATCAAATCGTTCCCACTACTTCGATCATTGAGTCAAACGTTGTGAACGTCACAGAACATGGCGGAACTGAATTATTGAATAGCGGTCAGAAAACGTTTATATTGAACTACGAAAAAGCATTAGACTCTGGCACCATCCCTCCTGTTTGGCAAAGAGAACTATATAAAAATATCCTCACAGGTCAAAGAAAGACCAGATTTTACCTCAGCCATCTATTGATGGTTAGACTGTATAGTGCTGACAAGGCAAAATGGACAATACGAGAGCTGAAACAGTGGTTACATTATATGTTTCTAGCTGGCGTAGAACATGTGTACATCTGTGATCACTGGCATACTGGTGATGACGACATGGAAAGACAACTCCGTCGGTATATAACTCTACATCTAGTGTCCTACAAAAGAATCTACACGCACAACGCGATGCAAGCACAGGTTCAGTGCTACAAGAAATGGGTCGAAGCAGAAGGATCAAACTCTACTTGGATGACGTCAGTGGATATGGATGAATATCCCTACCATGTGGAGGACAAGCAGGAGAAGTTCCTTCAGAGATACCTCAAGGATGTCCAACACAGATACCCTGACGTTGCTGAAGTATCCATGCCTAACTTTCTCATGCTTGGCCAAGGGGATAGAAGCCGAAATATAACTGTTGATAGAATCAGACGGTCGACGCCTGATCCAGCCAATAAATTAGTGAAGCCGATTTTTCAGCCATGTTGTGTGCGGCCTGATATTCACAAAGGGTCGGTGATGTCGCAAATGCGCAGGATGCCGGCTGATCCAAAAGAGCTGCGGATGCTGCATTACTGGGGTAGCCGGTTACAGAACTGGGGTCCTGATAACGACGAACTTTTGAAAATAACCATTCCCTATAATGATATGGCGGACACTTGGGTTGGGCGAATAAGAAACAGTTTGTTATCGTTTGGTGAAAAAGATGCATTTTCTCATAAATCCGGACCATGATAATATCAAATGGTGTTCTTTAAATTCGACGTTGTTTCAGTTTCAAACATGATGTAAAGAGATGTATTATTTTCGTTTACGATATGTGAATCCATCGTGGCTTAAGCTTTTGAATGTTTAGCCAGAGACTATGATATTTTTTGCATTAAGCAATCGTGATTCACATTGTATGACAGAAAAAAATCATCTCTGTCAACTGGCAAGAAACCGATAACTACAATGTTTTAACGCCTATGTGCGCAATATTTCTCCATGTTGTGCAACAGCTTCCAGAGACGTGATAACGTGTCTTGATTTGGGTGAAACATATCTTGATCCATAGTGTTTCGGGACGCTTCTTGGCCGCACCTCTGCACAATTGCGGCGCATAAGGCAACTGGGAACATTACCTGCATCTATCAAAATACTATACATGATATGGTCATTCGATGGAATAACGACGCAAACTTACTGATATCGATTACTTAGTATACTCAGAGAAAGTTCGTCGTTAATTTGACGCTTTTTGCATGACAGTAATTAAACGTCTTATCATATGTCCGTTTACAATAATACATCATCGGTTTTGATTGTCTTTTGAAATGGCGGCGGTTGGGCAGCCTAGTGGTTAAAGCGTGCGCTGGTCACCACGAAGGCCCGGATTCGATTCCCCACATGGGCACAATGTGTGAAGCCCATTTCTGGTGTCCCCCGCCGTGATATTGCTGGAATATTGCTAAAAGCGGCGTAAAACTCAATTCAACTCACTCACTCACCCACTGTTCCGAAATAAGTCAGTTTGGTGTTCAAGATATAATGGCGATGAAATTAATGAACGGTTCATTTACAATCACTGATGGCACCAGGTGCCCGATAAACATGAGGGCATATCTCGCTGTTCCGGTAGCACCTGATACTCACACAGTTTGCACAAAGTAGACAAACGGTACACAACACCGATATCTGTGATATACAAAGCAGCCAGTGAACAAAGCATTGCCAATGTGATGAAGTCAAGACTGAGGGACGTCCCACTTTTATTGTTTATATGCATGTTAGATGTTTATAATTCCGTTGTTGTTCTAGTTACCTCCAGGGTATAATCTAAATAACCACTTGGGTCGTCACAAATGTCCTCTCATTTGAAACACATTACCATCACGTTTGTTTTGTATAAATGTTCATCTGCAGCCTGTGATTTAAGCTTGTTACATACACATTTAATCATAACAGCTTTAGCGCGTTGTTGTTTAAATCCAGATATAAACCCAGTATCGTAAAGGCCAATTTCTCTTACGTCCAATTTATGTTAAATTATGGAAAGAATGGTTATGAACCGCTTTACGCATTATCTTGAGGAAAATAAGGTTTTAGCAACATTTCAAGCCGGATTTCAGAAAGGTCGCTTATGCACTGATCAGAATATAGACAGATGATCGGTAAGCAATTGTCAATCAGGAGTATATGCTGTGCGTATTTTTTTTATATTGGAAAGGCATATGATATGTTTTGGCAACAGGATTTATGAAGATAAGTGAGTGAGTGTGTTAACATTTATAGTCACTTTGGCAATATTTGAGCCATATCGTGACTAAAGGTGAGTGAGTGAGTTATTATTTAACGTCACACCGGCAATATTTCAGCCATATCGTGATATCATATTTAGATATTGCATGATGTTATATCTTAAAATCTGTCTGCGAAGGACAGGAAAAGATCTAGAATATGACAGTTAAAGTTTTAAAACTAACATGTAACTTAAAAATATATAAACTGACGTACAAAAGAAAGTACACACCTGGTGTTTGGGGATTATTTGAAAAGTGTTGGGATTTTGACTGCAACTTCGCAATTGGACACGATATCTGTGGTGTTTTGGCAACATATTAGGAGTAAGTAAGTGAGTTGAGTTTCACGCCGCACTCAGCAATATTCCAGCTATATTGAGGCGGTCTGTAAATAATCGAGTCTGGACCAGACAATCCAGTGATCAACAGCAGGGGCATCGATCTTCGCAATTGGGAACCGATGACATGTGTCAACCAAGTCAGCAAGCCTGACCACCCGATCCCGTCAGTCGCCATGGGTGACTGAAGGCCAATATTCTATCCCGGACCTTCACGGCTGGCAACATATTAGGAAAGTCTGTGACTTATACATCACTTTAAAAACTCGCTTTTTGGAAGGTAATCTAAAAGCACCGGGGTGTGCTTTCTTGTGTACGTCTGTTTACTATTTAGGACATTGCAACATAAAAATGGGCTATAGATCGCCAACAATTGAAGGTAGATCAGATCACCATATCAGGGAACATGGGGACTTACAGTGCCTTTGCTACCCGCATGGACCCTAGCTGGTTTTACACCATCCCTTCAGTCGCTGGCGATGGAAGGGAAATTATTTAAAATAACAAATGACCTACGATTAATAGACATGGTTGAGCTAAATTGACTTCGACAGTTTTGGGTCTTACGTACCCTCTCAGGAGGGACAATACTGTTACGATACTTTAACCCCTTTATGAAGCTGAAGGTTACTGATATATTTTATGTCTGTGTGGAGAATGGCATGTGTGTCTGGTGTCACGGTAAGATCCGGTATAGCTCGAACATACAGAAATTGGCAGAACAACATAAAGCTGTTCACATGAATCTAATGGATCCACCCAGAAGTTCTCAAATGGCCTCTGGCTTCTCTCTGTAACCAGGGTGTTGCTGTGAATTTACTTCCCTTGTTAAGAAGGATATGAATCTAAATGTGGTGAGAGATATGTCTGAGGATCTACTCCGGATGTAGAGTTACATACATTTATACTGACGCCTCTGAGGATTCTTGCATGGCCCTTACTGGTGGAGCTTTCTTGGTCCCTTGTCAGACTGTCTCCAGTGTGTTCACACTTCATGGTGACATACCAGGTCTTGCAGCAGAACCTACAGCAAATCTGCAGGAACTGAGATGGGTGGATAAATATGACCGTGAAGCAAGCATTCCTATTGATTCACTGGTAGCCATTAAGGCTATTGAATCTGGAGTTATTTGATCCTGAAACGATATTGCTGAGGAAATTTAGAAACTGGGCACAATTTCGAATACTAGATATATTTCATGTGATATACAGCAGGTAATCTTGTCACGTCAGAATTGCTAAGGATGAGGTTGATCATTTGTATTTCAGGCCTTGCCAAAGAGTTTTCGAATTCGCCATTCTAAAGTCGGTCTCCACGAACTGCACATAAATGCTGAGGTCTTCTGACATATGCTGTCCCTCAGTAACGTAAAATTGTAAAATACACCGTCGTAAGAGACGGGAATGAACTTGTTTTGACTATATTTCTCCTGGGTTACTGCGCACAATGTCTCTCCAGTTGTGTTGTTGATAAGGAAGTACCATGTCTTTGTGACCAATGTACTGATAATATGCCTGAAACAGTTCAACAGTATTTACAGGAATATGTTATGCTGACATCAAACAAAATCTCAGAAGTGTCGTGCTCAAGATAAGTGACACATTTTCCCTTGTGGGCAATATCGTTGGGCAACACCCTCCACAGTTCTATTCAAAGGGCAATACTGGAGTAAGTGACTGCATCAGGTATGAATCACTCATATGTCATTCAGTAAAAACAGTGAACCAAACATAGGTATCGCTTTAAGATCGTTATAACGTTCTTTTTCTCTTGGATTTTGTGAATTTTTTTGAACGAGCAGCGATCCCTTGTGTGTATTATTGTGGGTTTTTGTTAACATCAAAATACTTGTTGCTTGATGTTTCAGTCCATTCCATTAAGCAGAGATCATGGAATTTCATCAATTTTGTTGAGTACAATGTTAAACATTTCTATGCATTATGCATGGTATATATATTCCCATGATGCAGTATGTCTGCATTATTTATGTTAGTTTAATAGTCCTTATTAGTCCTTTACACTACGCCACCGCCACAATTCCACTCGAAATACACATTAGAGCAGCGCTCGCATATTGCTTCTTTAAGTAGCATTTAGAAGCTGGTATGGTGAACAGGATTGACAACATCTTTATTGCAGGTGAGGTGAGGTGAGGTGAAATTGGGTTTAACGTCGTGCTTGAGAATATTTCGCTCATATGACGACGTGCATGCGTGTGTATGTGTATGTGCGGCTGCTTGTACTAGCCCAGACTTAAGCTGGTTTTATAGTGCTAGCCCACTGAGATACCATGCCGCAGTGAAGCATGAATACCCCACTCAGACACATTATACTGACTCCGAGCCGACCAGTCCTTGTTGTTCCCATTAATGCCGAGCGCCAGACAGGGACCAACAAGTACCATATTTTAACGTCTTTTGGTATGACGCGTTCGGGTATTTATTGCAATAGATCCGACATTTCGGTGTAGATCCTAACACCGTTATCAAGCAAATGATATCATCATTTTGTAAGGTTAGGATCTACACCGAAACGTGATGCCAAATCACGTCTCATCTATTTCAATAAAGAAGTTGTCTATTAGGGCTGCGCAATATAACCGGTTTACCGGTATTTACCGGTTCAGACATGAAAACGATACGTATTGCCATACGCTGATCGAAAACCGGTATTTTGACTTGCATTCAGAAACCTTCGTAACACTCGGAAATGTTCGGATATGTCCTTGTTTCATTTGTGCCAAATATTATTCACATGTTTATTTTATCATGATTAAAAGTTATTATTAAAGCTTAATCAAGCATAGTGATTTTGTTGTGTTTTTGCTCTATGAATCAAGCATCTCATTGGGGACTAACATGTTAGCCGTTTGATCTGGTAATGGCGCTACGCTCATCCACGTTCTTCTTCCAGGATCAAACCTCCCCAGCAGTATCCCGTTATTTTTCAGCGAGACGCCACCATCATTATTATCCATGATAAGATAGGGGGTAGGTCAGGACCAGGTTAATAATCCAGTTCAAATGAGATTCGATGATGACTTCTCGTCATTTGTACACGTTATCTTGTAAGCGCATGGCGTACAAGGCATTTCCTCGCCGGGCAGACCAAACCCCAGTGTGTCCCCGAGATCGGCTAGCGTGACGTTGGGATGATGATGGTTCATTTCGTTGACGTAGAATGTATTACGACGTTTTCAATTGGTTATTGGATAATTCCTCGGGGATGCACTTTAAATCCATGATATGTATGTTGTTGAGTAGGAAAATTTTGGTGAGCGATATCGTAGCAAGCTTGGTATTGTTGTTGTTTGGCCCAGCGGAGTTTGATCCCTTTCACGATTTTGACGTCGTCACACGCCGACGGCCGTTCGCCGAGGGAGACTTGGATGTACAGGGTGGATTTCGCTGGCAGATTTTCCAGGACGTCTACCACGCTGTAAAATTCCGACACCATCTGCAATCCCACGTTTGCTCGAAAGCATGTGGGCTACTCTTTGCCTCAACGTGCTGATGATCACGCTGCGTCTTTGCGTAGGGACGTTAGCCACGAGAAGCGTTCCGTTGTTCATGACTTTCGTCAGGTAGTGATCTTTGTTGTCCGTGAAAACGTGGGGAGAGTCGAGCGTGATGTTGCGATTCCAGTCGATTTGGGATGGCACTAATACCCATTTGTCGTCGTTG